ATTTTTTTCTCAAAAGGTCCATCCATGGTAAGAGAAATGAAGACAGATCCCAGTCACTCCAGGCTCTCAGAACTCAAGCTCTGAATGAGTGAGTCCTCCCATCTTTTCTCATCCACTGTGGGCTATTGAGTCTGAAACAACTGGATAACCTAGTGACTCTCCATGAACACCTCAGGTCCTATTGCCTTAGCCTGGGAAGATGTCCCCTCCCATGCCCTCACTGCAGTATCTCTGATGGAAAAGATGAACGCTGATGTTTTTAATCAAACTAGTCAAACAGGCAGGAATTCTAAAAACTATTGACCCCAGCTCCCTCTCTGCTCACTGATAGCTTCCTTGTACCTGTTCTGCAGAGGGTGATTATCTGGAGGGGTCAAGACGAGGAGACTTACAATTTGCCAGGCTGATTCCCCTGTAGCCATCCATTCCATGGCTTTTCAGAGTTCTGGCGAACTCACAGCGTTCATAGACCTTGGCCTGGACAGTGACAGAAAGCAGGAGGAGCCCCAGAGAGAGGAGAGCCTTCATGTTGACCTGGAAGCTGGATCTGCTGCAGGCTGAGTGGAGAAAGCAAGCCTCCTATTTAAGCATCCTCCAAGTTCCTTCTTTCTCTGGCAGGTGTGGCCTCCAATCTTTGAGCTGTGTGCAAAGGAGGAAGTTCCTGCAGTTCTGATTTCTGCATTTGTCCTTCTTTTTCCACAAGTTTGATTAGAGATGTTCTGGTGGTCCAGCGGTAAGTGCACAGTACTTATTTTAAAGATGTGGATCATTAAGAATGGAGAGAGAGTTCTCTTTCTGGAAGGGTTTTTTTTTTTCATTTTATTATGAAGCTTAACAACTAAAAGAAAAAACACAATTAATATTTACAGTTAAAACCAGCAACTACTTTTCACCAACATTCTTTCATATCAAATTGTTTTGTGTGCATCCACCATTTTGCATTGATTTTTAATTGAATCACTTCATGTGTGTTTCCCCCAATTGGACCTGCTGCATGTCCTTGCTCTCTAGAAGGCTGGGTCCCATGGTATCACATTGTTTAGGCAGTGTCTCCTCTAGAGTGTTTTCATTGCTACTGTTCTATTTGTATTTCTATTATCGCTGAGACTCCTGTGGACATCATTCCTAGCTCCTTTTACAATCATGCTTTCCTTCTTGTAGAGACCCACAGAGGTTTCCTAGTGAGAACTTACTCAGGGTCTGAGAATGTATGTGTGGATGATAGATGGATGAACAGTGGGGTGGGGTGGGTGGATGGATGGGTGGATGGATGGATGGATGGATGGATGGATGGATGGATGGATGGATGGATGGATTTGCAGAATAGCTTTTCCTGTTCTAATGTTCTCACTTTCAATATTCTTATGAGCTTGCTTTACCCAGCCAGGCTGCATAATGGGATGATTTTACCACAGATGTGTTTGGAAGGGGCTACACTTGGCAGTATGGTGTGCTTTGATCTTGCAAGGGGGAGGTCTTTTGTCCCACTCCCTGGCATGTGATAAAATCCCTCTTGAATAAATGGAAAAGGCCAATGTGTATTGACTCAGGCCCTCCCAAAGCTATCCTGTGTTTCTGTCTTTCTTCTCATCGTCTAGGTCTCTCTTTCTATCTAATATTTTCTCATTCTTCTCTCCTCCTCCTAAGAACCCTTCAAAAGGTGGGAGCTGAACTCCCACAGATGGCACCAGAACAGGAGGCACCGCAGATCAGGAGGGCATGCCTGGTAATGAATTAAGTTGAGGCAGTGGTATTCTATTCTTCGGGAGTAAAATTGTAAATATAAAGCAGAGTGGCTAAAGTTAAGCTGAAGCCAGTATCTCTCTGTCTCTGTTTCTCTCTTTCTCTCTCAGTCTTTATCTATCTACTAAATTAGGTCTAAAAATGGTAGTATAAGTAAGTCATAGAAGTGTTTCTGAGGTTTGAAAAATATAGGGTTTATGTGTAGGGATATTGTGAAACTTAGGGTAGGAGTAGCATTTCCCAGACCTGGCATGCAGAAAGCATCATCCAGGACCAAGCAGCCACTGCAGACTTAGCCGTCTGAGAAAGAGAAGCCGACATGGAGCAGGGAAATATTAGGCAGTTGTTTGTATATTCACTTGTAGATTGTTTGAAAGCTAGGGGAGTTAAGGTAGAACAGCAACAAGGACAGACGTTTTTAGAGTTTGTAGAGGAGCTGTTTCCTTGGTTTCTCGACTATGGGACCCTGGACGCAGACTCATGGGGGGGGGAATTGGAGTAGAAATTCAACAACGTTGTGAGAGCATGGGCCTGAAAATATCCCAGTGGAAGCTTTTGGCCTGTGAGCACTTATTCGGGACAGTTTGGATCTGAGTCCTGAGCAGCAGTCGGGGTGGGGAGTTTTCCCTGAGGTGGACACAGACGAAGCAAAACCCTCCATTTCCACCAGAGGAACTGCTAAATGTGGATGCTTTTACAAAATCATTCGATCATGGTCAGTCCCCTCCTGGCCATGAAGCTGAGTTTAAGGAACAGAAGACTTGGGATGAGACAAAGGAGGAGCTGAAGCCCTTGAGAGATTTAGTAATTTCCCTTTCTCAAAAACTGGAGGCTCTTCAGATCTCCCCTTCTCAGAAGGGTACACCTCTCCCTTCTGTAGTGGCAGGATTAGATTCACCTGGGGGGTCATTTATCAGAATGGAAAAGTCACCCATAATTACCATAGTGCAAAAGCCTCCCAGAGCATGCTTGTCAAGCTGCTTTGAGACCTTTTAGAAAGAAGGGAAAGATCTCTGATTATATTCAACTTTGCTCAGATATTGGGTCTTCATGTAATCAGGGGATGGTTATGACTGTGGCATTACAAAGAGGTGTGGCAGCCATGGGAGCAGGAGTATTGCTGTGGTTGTTCCAGCTACTTGCAAGCTCTCAGTGGGAACCTGATTCAGAGTTGCATGGAGTTAGGCTCTGTACCTTCCTTGCCAGAGGCTGGTAGTTAGAAACAGGTGAGTGTTTCTTGTTAGCTGTCAACCTAAGACAGTAAACTTAGTGGAAAATGTATCTCATTGACGGGTAAGGCTGTTTAGTGAAGGGGGCGACCTAAGACAGATACAGTCCATCTGAGTGGTCTGAGAAGCCCTTTAAAATATTAAGAAGGTGGAGGCTGTGGAGATCCACAAAGGTTTCCTAGTGAGAACTTACTCGGGGTCAGAGAATCTGAGCTTGCTTTACCCAGCAAGGCTCCATAATGGGATGATTTGATCACGGGCATGGTTACCAGGTGTTTGGAAGGGTCTACACTTGGCTGTATGGTGTGCTTTGGTCTTGCAAGGGGGGGTCTTTTGCCCTCCCCTTTGACATTGTTATAAAAAGCCCTTCTGAATAAAGCCACAAGGCTGTTGGGTATTGATCCAGGCCCTCCCAGAGCTATCCTGTGTTTCTGTCTTTCTTCTCACTGGCTAGGTCTATCTTTCTATCTAATATTTTCTCATCCCTCTCTCCTCCTCCTAAGAATACTTCAAAAGGTTGGAGATGGATTTCCACAGCCTCTCCTCTCCATGTTAAAACATAAAGGATCACCATAAGCAATAGGACTTCAAAACTCAAACTGAACCAAACATATAACTCTAACTATGTGCAACTTTTTAAGGTGATCCTCTTAGGAGGCTGTGGGTATTTTTCAAATTAAGTTTTCATTTGCTGATACAGAGAAGACAACAAATGGAATTTTTCAATGTTTATTATTTTTATTCTATGTGCATACATCTGCGTATGTCAGATGTAGCCAACTGCTTTTCTACCACACACCCAAGAAGCTAAGGTGGGAGTTTATTAGAGTACAGGAGTTGGAGAGCAGCCAGAGAACCACAGTGAGACATGTTCTCAAAAACCAAATGAAGGGGCTGGAGAGATGGCTCATCAGTTAAAAGCATTGACTGTTCATTTTTGCCTGGATGCATGGCTGTGTACCCTATGTGTGCCTGATATTATGGAGACCATAAAAGGATATCAGATGTAGTAGAGTTTCAGTGAAGTTACAGTTCCCAGTTACAGGCTACCATGTGAGTGCTGGGAACTGAACCTGGGTACTCTGGAAGAACAATTGATCTCAACTACTGAGCTACCTTGCCAGCCCCTGTGGGCATCCTTAAAAAAGACACTATGAGAAAGCAAAAGCATCAGACCCTGGATTTATACTGGAGCACAGATTCTATGTCACACAAAAAGTCACGCTAATTTCGATCAGTGGCAGTTACTGTGCTGGACATGCAGATAGCCCCCCCAGTACTAAGCTGAAGTGAATGCACTGATCTAATGTGTCTATTAGAAAGGGAAGTGGTGCTATAGATGTCCTAAATTATTTATCCTGGGGCAAGAGATATAGACAGTGACAAGATTTAATCTTATTATATTATTCCCTCAAGATAATAGGATGAGCAAGGGATTTAAAAATATAACATCAAATTGGTATAATTTCTGGGCAGGATTTGTTTCCAGAGAAATCTGCTTTATATTACATGTTTTATTTTGTAAGTTTTATGAATTTTGCCATCTTAAGAAAAGGGGTGATATTTCCCAGATTTGTGTCATATTGTAATGAAGTATTATTTACTTACTTTCTTTTTTAATTTGTTAGTTTTTGTTTTGTTTTGTCATTTGAGAAAGCCGTGTTGTGTGGTCCTGGTTGGCTGAGAGTTTGTAGGGACCCTCTTGCCTCTGTCTCATGGGAATTTCCACAACACCCTGCACAACTTCCTTCTGCTTATTCTTGATCCACAACCTATTCAACTTCCTTGTGGCCAAAAGCAGAAGAAAATTAACCCTTCATGGCAAGTCAGAGGGGCTTCAGGCCTAGAAGTGGGAACCCATGAAGGCTCTCTCCAACTTTTGACTAATGTCTAAAATGCAAGCCAACTGTAAAAGACAAGGATTTGTCACTATTTATAATGTTTCTAAAGAATGTCCTGTGGGCAGAGGGCTGGACACTCAGTTCCGACTCTACTCCCTTGCAAATTCTATTAACATATTGACTAAAGATTCTTTAATGCATATGTCAGATGTAGCCAACTGCTTTTCTACCACACACCCCAGAAGCTGAGGTGGGAGTTTATTAGAGTACAGGAGTTGGAGAGCAGCCAGAGAACCACAGTGAAACATGTTCTCAAAAACCAAATGAAGGGGCTGGAGAGATGGCTCATCAGTTGAAAGCATTGACTGTTCTTGCAGAGGACCCAGGTCCAGTTCCCAGCATCCACATAGTGACTCACAACCATCTGGAACTCCAGTGCAGGGAGTCTGACACCTTCTTCTGGTCTCCACAACACCAGACACACACGTGGCACACGGCACACATGCAGGCAAAACATTCATAGGCATAAAAATAGATAAATGGCTGGGCGGTGGTGGTGCACGCCTTTGATCCCAGCACTTGGGAGGCAGAGGCAGGTGGATCTCTGTGAGTTCGAGGCCAGCCTGGGCTACAGAGTGAGTTTCAAGAAAGGCGCAAAGCTACACAGAGAAACCCTGTCTCAAAAAAAAAATAGATAAATATTTTAAGTAGGGAAGCCAACAAGGGCAATGGAAGTAGGGAAGGTAAGAGGACAGATGAGAAACAGCACAACTTTGTGATCAAGATAGAAAGATGGTAGTCTAGGAGACAGGGGGGCTGACACCTAAGGGTGCAGAGAGGGAAGTCAAGGAAAATCAAGCTGGCTCTTGACCTACAACCTAGAAAATACTAGGTGAGTAGAAGCCACACTGTATGGCTGTCTGTGAGTAGTAAGGCTGGTTGGGAGTCTCTGTGTAGAGCAGTTAAACCCCCAGACAGGAGAACAGGTTGTTGACCCTTCTGTCTGCAGAGACAGATAGTCATTCTTTGAGATGATGATCTATAGACTCTGGACTAGGCCATCATCCACTACACTACACAGCTGTGGGTCTAAGATGTAGGTTGGTGGTACAACGCTGTCTGGTCCTCGTGAGGTATTTTTTTAACCCAAGCACTTAGAAAGAAAAAGGAAAGAAGTAGAAAAAAGAGGAGGGGTGTAAGTCACAAGAAAAAGGCAGAGTAAGTTAAATGGGTAAATTAAATAGAAGTCTACATTCTAAGCCCCAAGCCATGCTCCCACCCACTTCCTTTGATGTGATTGACATAAGTCCTCACTCTAGTCCAAGCTATCCTGGAACTCCCTACACAGTTCACCTTAGGTACACAATAATGATCCTACCTCAGCCCCATATGTCCTAGGATCACATGTAAGCCATAAAGCCCCTTACTTTGAATCAGCCCTTTCTGAGATCTGGGCACCTTGATCTCTGCCTGACACATTTGTCTCCCAGGCAAGAGCCTGTAGGATCTGAAGCAGGACCAAAGACCTGCTGTGGCTAACATTCAGACCCACGATGAAGCAGCAGATACTACTCAATCCCTCTGGTGGGTACCCTCTGGTTACAGACTGTCCGTTCAGCTCCTTGAAGCTTAAGACTGTTCACTGTCAACCAAAGCTCACCAGACACTGGATGAAAGCCAATGCCTGAAAAAACAAAACAGAGAAGAGGGACTAACCAGCATTTCTCAACCTGAGAACCCTCTGGGGAGGCAGGGGCTGCATATCAGATATTTGCATTACAATCCATAACAGTCGCAACATGACAGTTATGAAGTAGCAACAACATAATGTTATGGTTGGGGGTCATCACAACTGTATTAAAGGGTCGAAGCATTAGGAAGGTTGAGAACCACTAGAAGAGGAAGTAACTCAACACAAAATAAAATAGGAATTATAATGAATGCTTCGGAGATCAGAGAAAATATCGCATGCATGGAACTAAGATGCTGTAATAAAGAAATAATCAGAAAACAAAATATAAATTATAAATCAGATCATATTTAGAATGAGATTTGAGACTGGAAGGGAGATAGCACCTAGGAATCCCATGAATAAACTTTTTCTGCAAATGGCTTTTTTCCCCATGACTAAAAGTTCCCAATACTGTATGGGCAATCCTAGGTATTTGAGTTTCTTGTGACACTATTTCCTCAATCCTATTTTGTACTAGTAGTAAATAATTAAAATTTATTTTGGCCACTACATAAGGACATAGGGGGGAAAACTACATGAAAGCAAACAGCCTTTGAAAATCCTTGATGTGGTCAATCAAGATCAGCTGTGATGCTGAAAGCAGTCTTTGGTATGCATTTTGTCCAAGAATGGAAACAACGCTGCAGGGCTACATCTGGTAGCTGCTGAGGACCTCAAGAGACCATGGGTGAGCCGCTGTGATGCTACCCCCATGGAGTTTTGGCTCAGGGTACAGCGGACCTACCCTCACCTGTGTTGTGGAAGCAAGGATGCTAAGATACAGGGGTGAGGTGGTGGGACAGCCCCTTCTGCTCACCCAAGGGAAAAAAAGATGCTAACAGGTCCTTTCTCCACTGTGGTTCATCTAGCTGGGCAATAGCTTGTGACCCAGCACCCCTACCCTGTCTGAGTCAGATTTGTTACCTGCCTCAGCAACACTTGACCCCAGCCCACATATGGCATTTAAATGGCATCATGAGTTACATGAGTTGATAGGAAATGCCACATAATTTGGGTGCACCGAATTCAGACCTGTGTATTTTTATTAAAAGATTAATGATCACTTTCTGGCTTTCTAGTCATCAATGATTGCAACTGAAACTGCTCTCACTGAAAATTAGATGAGGATGCTGGAGAGCTGGGTCCCCTGATGCAGACTCCTGACATCACTGACATTTAATGCTGGCCATCTTCTGGTTGGTGTTGCCTTTTGAGTCAGGTTTATTGTTAGAAGAAATTACATTAGTCAACATATTCTAGAGGACCAAACAACAGGAATTGGTTAAACAGCGCTGCTAATACCGTGCTACAGTGTTGAGCAAGACTCAGAAGTTGTTGTGTGGAAGCAGGTTGCTTGAACAGTTAGCTTGAAGAAGAACAGTAGCCCAGTAAGATCCTGCTGTGCCCTGACCCCCAAGCCTCTGGAGAATTCACTGCTGCTGCTGCACACTCACTTGTCCATTTTCTCATTTCCTATGCTCTGCCTTGCCCACTCTGCTGTGGAAATGAGCTAGCGGTCTGAAGTTCACCTACATGCCATTGGAATGCAATGCCCTTCTCTGGTCTCTTCAGCAGCATTTCAAGTGTTTTTTATCGCATTTTCTGCTTGCAACTTTCTTTCTTACTAGTCCTAAGAGAGTGCAAGTCATGCAGGGTACTGAGGGAGCTGAGGATGAGTGGTCAGTATTGTGAAAGGAGGCTGTATGGAAAGGCGGGGAGAAGGTGCCATACACATCAGGAGGAGTCACCAACACCAGTTTGAAAAGTAAAAACATTTTTGTACAAGAGACACTGAATGTTAAGACACTCCCGTGGATATGTTTGAAATGTGAAACCAGTTTCACAAAAAGTATCCTTGGCTTTAAGCCCTTAACTAAATTTTAGCAGCTTTCAATATTGGGTGTCTTTGCATGTTTTTAATCCAACACCCTCAGTGGACAGTGTTGGTTCCCAGGTGTCTAGCTAGCAACTCCAATTGCCTATGCGGGCCATTTACTTGTTCCTCAGGAACAAGGAAGTTTTGGCCTTCATAGAGTTTATAGAGGAATGTCGTGGTGACTGAAAACAGCTTTCAAGTGTGAATTGTACAAACAGTTGGGCACAGTGTGTGTTTGGGAATAGACAGTGATAATCCAGTGGGGGAGATTCCATCTGAGACCTCCATGACCAGTGTCCCAACGAGAGAGGTGTGGAAATTTAGGTAGAGTGGGACTGAAGGGGCATGATAAAAAAGATCAGAGGAAGGACTGGAGAGATGGCTCAGACGTTAAGAATATGGTTGTTCTTGCAGAGGACCAGAGTTTGACCCACATGGAGGCTCAAAACCCTCTGTAACTCCTAGCCCTATTCTGGTCTCTGTGTGCACCAGGCACACACATGCTGCACATATATACATGCAGGCAATGCATTCATACACATAAAATAAAAACAAATCCTAAAGGAGAAATAAGAAGACTGTGGCGATAGAAGGCTGGGGAGGACATCGAAGGCAGAACAGTATTGAAGAGCAAGAAAGAGGAGACTGAAGGATGGGGCCAGACCTATGTGCTTAATCTCCCAAGCACTGGGATCTACAGCTTAACCCCAAAGACAAGCAGAAACTATTTATGAATATTAGCCTGGAGAGGAGCAGGCTCAAAATCTCTCTTAAAAAACATGTTAGATCCGACTCCAAGAGAGATGTTGTGCATCTGCCATATCTGGATGCCAGAGTATATTGGGTTGTGGGTGGGAGTAAGAGGCAACAACAGGAGATATTTCTGAGAGTGTACAGTCAAGAGTTGGTCACTATCTAGACTGTGTGGTTATAAATGAAAAAGGAATAATGGCCACTTATACTTATCAAATGTTCAAAGGGGCAATCATTTAAGCTTTAAAATTGTCACAGAAGTCATATGCTTGAATATCCATTTTACAGATGAATAATAGGTGTGCTGTATGGTAAAGTATCTTATCCAAAGAAGTGCAGTAAGTGGCTTGGGTTTAGATTCAGGTAATTTTATTCCTCTTTTGTATGCACCACAGTACCTTGTAAAATAGAACTGAAAGGAGAATGAAGTCTTTTGGGACTCAGTTCTAACCCTTGACTCACTGTAAGGTGTCCATCCATCCACCCCAGTTCTCACCCTACACACTGTAAGGTGTCCATCCATCTACCCCAGTTCTCACCCTACACACTGTAAGGTGTC